GTGTGAGTGTTGAGAAGCTCAATTTTTGTTTTTAGCTATATGTCCCCTTTTCTCCTGGTCTTGCCAGCTTCTGACGACATGAAACAAGTCTTTTTTTAACAGAAAATAGATACAAGTGAAAAACAAAAATTGATAGACAACAAGAAAAGCAATAGAAGCCGATCCTGTACATTTCGAGCTTTCTATACTGGATACAAGCTTATCATAAAAATGATTCGAATTCGATATTATAGAAGTTATTTCAATCGTTTTTCAAGTTTAACATAGATGGCCTCTGGTGTAATAACATTTCCTTCTCGTAGCGTCATGCCTTGATTGAGCTTTTCACCTAGTAGAATATTATATGTATATAACAAATGAGTCAAACACAGTTTTAATTCCATCAAAGCAAATCTCATTCCCACACAGTTTCTAGGTCCAATGCCAAATGCTACAAAGGGTGCAGGATCACGTTTAACGGAATGACGTTCGGGAATAAATAGATCAACATCTTCAGGTCCCCAGAGATCGATATCACGGTGAATCGAGTAGACATCTGGCATGATTAGAGTGCCTGGACAATGAGAAATAATGTGATCTGACCAATATAACATTAATACATCGGTAGTATATTTAATCTCATTTAGATTTGTTTCAAGCAATAAGCAAGCAATGCTTTCCTAACCTTTTTCAATCTGATGACTGCAAACGATTGTTGTTTCATTGGCTACTCGAATTCTCACCTTGCCTGAAAATGTATACATTTGAAGTACTTCGTGCAAGAATAAATCCATGTATGCCATATCGACAATCACATCATAATCGAGTTCCTTTTCGCTTTCTTGCCAATGTTGATCGATTTCTGCTTGTAGTTTTTTATGAATCTCAGATTCTATAGCCAAAATGTAGGTAGAATAGGCTAGCGTAGTTGCAGTTGTTTCGTAGCCAGCGACCATAAAAAGACAAACGTTCATCAATACTTCGGTATAATGCAGGTGCTTCGACATTGATTCATCGTTTTCATGATCCTATAAAAATCATAAATATGGTAACAACTATGTTTTTCTTGCGTCAGGCCGAACTAACTTCGATTTCATCATCTGTTGCTGCATCCAACATTGATTGAAGTAAATCCATTCGTTTCATTCCAGATGTTAATCTTTCTTTCACTACATTTTGGACTTGTTTCATAATCCATACATTAGGCAGATCTTCAATATTATGCGCAAGAGAAGGCATCAGTGCACGCAATTTATCGACAAGGAAGAAACGGGCCTTGACCAATTGAGTCAACACTCGTGTAAGAAACGGCATTACGGTGGACAATTTGACGATGAAGAGTTTCTCTATCTCAACAGCCACACAAGCTGCTGATTTTTTCATATAAATGTTTTCCAGGTCGTTTTGCATATCCGTATCAATGGCGAATATACAATGCCCGATATTTACAATGAATGATATTTATGTTCCAGAATAAATTAGAAACTACGTAGGGAGTGGATCAAAATTAACAGGAGAAATATTTTTTTCGATCTTTTTCTTCTTTGTACACATACTCAGTTAGATCTTATATTTATACCACTTATACTAGGTGATATAAGTCATAGACGCAGCATATGATCAGTATCTGGACGTAGTAATTTGTTCGTAAGCGTACAAATATAAGGTACCCAAAAGTAACAATACGCTATTAACAGTTATAGTTTTGCTTTCATAACTCATATTATTTCGTCTTTTCTACTAGTGTTTACATATTTGCTAATGGTGGCATCTGACAGATAGCACGACAAGTGGTTAACTCTTCTATTCACTGATTCATTTTTTTTCTCTTTATACTTTAGGTTCTGTGTGTAGTTCTAACTATGTGTTTTTACTCGAGCACTGGCCACGATAGCGTGTGTATGGCGTGATCGAACAAAAATAAGCAATGATCGGCTATAACAACCATATAATGTTCTATATTTTTTCGGATTGTTTTTAAATATGAGAGAACGCTCTCGACTGTCCACATCAGAAAGAATTGAAATTGTAAAGTAGTATGCCGCTCAATAGAATGCAGTTGAAGTTGCTCGTCAGTTTCAGGACTACTACGACCGAATTCTTTCAACGCGAACAAATATCTTGGACCTTATACAAAAGTTCAACGAAATCAAAAGTGTCCAGAATTAACCTAGATCCGGGTCGATCCAAATATGTTGGTACTGACGTGAATCAAGACCATGTTCGTGCTACTTTTTAGAACAGTCCCGAAACGTCATTCTGAAGAGCGTCTTTGGAACTGAATTTGGCTAAAACTAGTCTTCGTCGGATGATGAAGGAACTGGGATTGAAACCCTATTGTCCTGACTTACTACATGCTTTGAGCGATGATGATTTCGATCGACGCTGTGAATTTTCTGATTTTTTTCTGAACTTGGTTGTTGACGACTCTTTCTTGCCTCACCGAATTGTTTGGACCGGCGAAGCTATTTTCAAGTTGAATGGATATGTTAATCGACACAATTGCGTTCATTACGCAAGAAATGAATGTTCCAGGCATTACTTTCTGGATTGGCATTTGGTCTTGAAGCCTTATCGGTGATCCGTTCTTCTTTCATGACACTGTTACTGTACATAGCTGTTTTGAAATGTTAAATAAAGAAACAATCTGTGCTATTGAATCTCAAACAAGTTTTAAAAATTGTTCTATATGCGGGATGGAGCACCAGTTCATTGTGCTCAATCCGATCGAGATTTTTTGGAAAAAAAGTTTCCTAATCGATGGATCGGTCGGCGTGGACAAATTCATTGGCCAATACGATGTCGAGATTGAACTCCAACTGACTTCTTTTTACGGGGTTTAATCAAAGACCGAGGGAATGCGACAAAACAGGAAACTCTTCAAGCACTCAAGGATACTATTGTTACAAAATTAGAAAACGTGCCAGTGAAATTCTGTTGACGAGCGTGTCAATCAGTACTTGAGCAGTTGCAGCTTTGCAAAGACGTATAAGGTGAACACATTGAACAATTTTTGCGAAAACTTTCGCTATGAAAAATATTTCATAAATACGTACTACTGTGTCTGCCATTTTCTAGTTCTATTGCTTTAATAAATGTTTTGTTAGGACTCGAGCTTGTTTCCTTACTTTTGACTACCTTATATTTGTACGCTTTCGAACAAAATTACTGCACCTAGATACTGATAATATATTGCATCTTTGACTTATATCACCTAGTATAAGTGGTATAAATATAAGATCTAACTTAATATGTACAAAGAAAAAAAAATCAAAAAAAAAATTCGTCTTGTTAGCTTTGGCCCATCCTGTACGCAGAATTCAACTCTGTTCGAGGCCTGAACAGTCCTTGTCCCATCTAATTCTATTCAGTGTAAAACTAATTTAGTCAAATTCTGAGTGAGGTGATAAATCAAGCTACATCATTGATCATCACTTACAAATAACATCCATGGTTAACAGTCTATACAGCGCAAATATATTGAACTCATGATCATTCATCTCGTCAAATTTGATCATCATCGATTGGATACATCTGTTCATAAGACGTGTCATTTTTTTCAATTTTGCTATTGTAAACGTTGGATTGATCACATGTCGTTCGCGTCACCATTGATCCCCATGTGAAGAGAATAGATGTAGCCCTTTACCTCGGTGAATACGAGAAAGAAAATTCGTACGACGCGAATGAAACGATGAAAATTGTTTTATATAAACTTCTTGCAAAAAATCAGCGTCAGATACAATATACATTGGATGTGCTCCTTCGAAAAGACCATAAATGGAACCACACCAACGAGTTCATTCGTAAATTTGTTTGAAAGACAAGGATCTATTCCAGAGTTGAAGCAAGTGACCGAACAGGAATTGTGGTGCTGGTCCAGGAATATTTCGACGAACGAAATAGTTATAACATGATTTTAATGTCCAAACGTAAGTAACGAGTAAAATAATAAAAGAAACAAAACAATATCGTAGTGATAAACATTTTTGTATGATTTGCACATGCACACAGGTAAAAATGCTCTGAGAGGAAGTAAAATAAATTTTCATTCTTTTCTCTATGCATGATATTAAATATATGTCGCAAATAGTTATTCGTACTCTACATAATAAAAATCGATCACGTTTGCTTCTCTTCACTATTATTACTGTATCTTGATCACTAAGCACGTGCTTCATACACGTGAGCGATAAGTAACATAAGATTTACTAATGCTAATTAAAATAAATACTAATGGAGAAAATAGTGTTGAAAATTCAAATCTATATGATATGATACCAAGATAGTTTTAATGAGCAGACTGCTTGTTTGCACAACAGAAAACGATCTGTTCAACATTCATATGAATATCAATCATCAAATCATACACCTAAACGTAATCGGATGGAAGCTTTTAGTTGTGACACCAAAATTAATCAACATTCGACCAAGTGAAGTCAACGTCGATAAGAAACTACTGCATGGTCAACATCGACAGCAATGTCTTCGTGTTTTAATACGTACTATCAATTTAAGAAAAATATCAATGATTCATCGATACGTTCTCGATAGTTATCTAGCATCAAAATTAATTTTGATCGAGAAGATAAATAAATTTGCAAACTGAATTCAGTGTTCGGACTATATGCAAAAATAGTAAAATATCAAATATGTTGTTTCACTTTATATAAGTGAAACAACACAGTTTGAACATCTCATGTGCGAATCCAACTAGTCAAACAAGATTTGTAACAGTGAATATAAACACTATTTACCTTTTAAGATGTCATCATCATACTTCATCATGTTTCTTAATGTTCCTTCTCAATGGAGTGCATCAGTTTTGGGTAGTGAATTGAAGCAGCAATATCCATAGACTGTATGTGCATTACATATGTATATAAAAGGTGGACATTCTTTAAGCAAAATTTGCATTGATTTTGTATCTTATAAAGAATTATCAAGTATCATTAAATCAAAACGTATATTATTAGATGATAATAATACTGCATGTACAATTGAGCGATATGTATCGCTAACTACAGCATTATGTTATTATAATCGTCAAACATACAAATATCACATTGCTGCTTTGCCCAATAAAAATTACCCAATATATTTTAGATATGGTCATCGCAAGGGTGATCACATGGCAGGAAATCTAAGATATTCGACAAAATTAGAAAAAAAAAACTTCATGAAATAAATTAGCGACTGAAACTATCGAATAGCATGCTGATTTCATCATGCACTAAATGACAAAAACCAGTCTAGTCGGAAGATGCAAAAGAGCATTTCTTTGATAATGAAACAATAGCAACGATAAATGCTGTATTTACATCTGTAAACAAAAACAACAACAGTCCATTAGATTTTATCAATGTGTTAGATAGGATTAATAACATAATGTTACACAATAAAGAACAACATGATGAATTGAATTCAAAGTTTTACTTTTACTAATATGGAATTAAATAATCAGACTGTATCAATTTTGTTCTATGAACTATATAGTAGATTTTATTTCGAAAAATATCATATCCATCAATTTTGTTAATATTTCCAGTAACAAAATAAATGTTGAAGAATATATAACGCCTAATAATGACTTTGACCAAACAACAATGCGCGACTCTTAACCCTAATATATTTATTCATATACAAAAGGATCCGCAAACGGTTTCCACGACAACCCTATCAAAAAGGCAGATAAAAATCGTACTCGATCTTATTTCAGAAAGAACCATGTCATTAACATTGAATAATTTACTTAATAAATAAGAAAAATAACTGCAACAAACTTGCGATATGCTCAATATTAGAAGTAGATTATCGTTCTTACTATTAAATATTAGTAGTCTTAAACTATATCTGTATTATTTATTTCAATTACTAAACTCATTACATATAGCTATTATTGTGTTGAATGAAACAAGATATGATAATGATGCAATAAAGTGTCTCTCAAAATATTCAATAAACTTTCAATGTTTCCATCAGAAAGACATCAATGCTTTTGAAGATGTGATAGTAGCCACACACCAGTTTATTCTAGCACAGTGAGTCATAGAATTTCGGAATGATTTTTAATCTCATTGTACTCAATATATCTATTCACCTATATTCACAGCCTTTGCCAGAAAAAAAATTTACGAAAAAATGACCCAAGAGTGACTAGACGAAAAGTTTTTAGAAAAAATATGCTGAGAGGGAAGCGCAGATCGATTTTTCGTAAAAAATATTTTTTGGGTAAAATATATTTGATTTGATGCTGTTTTTGTGAACATGGTCTAAAAAGCATAGTGAAACATAGAGGTACACTAAAAAAAGATAGGTATTTTGCCGAATCCCCCGAAAATGTTCTTGAAAGTGTACAGAATCTAAAAAACGGATTTTCAGATTTACGAAGCCTTTAAAGGTTCTTCCCTCGGATACACGGGCCGAACCTTCTAATGCGAAAACTTTGTTGAGTTCCGCAGAGCAGAAAAAGGTTTCGTATTTTGTTACGAAACCTTTCTCTGGTCTGGAAAACTTAAAAAATGTTTCGCATTAGATGATTTGGCCCATGTATCCGAGGGAAGAACCTTTAAAGGTTTCATAAATCTGAAAATCCGTTTTTTAGATACTGTACACCTTCGAGAACGTTTTCGGGGGTTCAGTAAAATACCTATTTATTTAGAGTGTAGAAATTTGGATGTGGGTATGAAATGTGAGTGATGTAGGATGCGTGAATGTGCATGGATCACTTCTTCAACAACACACACTGCATGCGCACACCCTATCGAAAACTATGGTGTCAATTAAAGCTGTCACGGACAACACAAATAAAATATTTCAAAAAGCGCGTGTAAGTGTATCAACCTTGTGTCTGGGTTGTTTAATCAAACACTCACGCTCAAATCCGGGTCTATATTCTCTGTTGACTATTTGTCGAAGGATTTTCAGAGATCGAACTGTCAAAGAGGCTGAGAACCAAGAAACGGATACTTTTGGCCAATACTCTTGGGAGTATTGCAAAACTGATAATATAAAATACATATACTGATAGATTATTTGAATAAGCTTCTTGTGGAAAACATAGAAATTATGAATTATTTTTTAATTCACTTATATTAGGAAGTTCATTGTTCAAAAGTTTCTCCTCGATATTTCCAGATGACTTTTAATAATGCGAAAAGTCCCCCTTCCGTTGGAACATTTTCAAGATAAATTGTGTGTTGACCACTTGTTTTGCCAGTGTCAATGTTGATAATACGAAATGATGTCATTGGTAAAATAAGTACCTCTCGTTCGTCGTCAAAGTCAGATATGGAAGGCAGAGTGTCAGATAGACGAAAGAGTTGAATAGCTGTGTCACATTTTTCTGGAAAAGTGAACACCATCAAAACATGAATCGTGTCAGGAGAGGAAGTGTCAACAGAGCCACGAGCCGCGTTCTTGTCCACAGATGTCGAACAGAAATTATCGGTTATCACAATGCTACCTTTGTGCTTTAGAGCCCATTGATACGTTCGTAGATCGCTATGAGTCATTGTCAAACCACGAAATGAGCGACCTTGATATGCACGTTTGTACAAAGTATCTAGTTTATAAAATAGTAGAAGTCGGAAGCAATGATCGACTCCATCTTTGCCGCGAACCTTGTAAAAGGGTGTTTCAAGCGAATGAAGACGTAAGAGATGTTCAACTTTCTTGGTTCGTACATATTTCGAGACAAGTTCGCATGCTTTCTGATACTCAGAATTTGCTGGAGTGACGTGCTCATTAATAAGGCGTTGTACATCTGTTGCAGCTTTACTTTCGTTGTATGCAAGACCGGGTTGATCCATGCAATGCATTATACGCGGAATCAATGATCGTATAATCGATGATGTAGCCATCGTTTTTCCGATATTGGCAGCCACTTGATTATAGCGAGTCATCGTTTCTTTATTCAATTCTTGAAGCCAGTCGCTGGGTGCCTCATCGTTGTCATCTTTGTCTTCTGTTTGTTTGTCAATACTCCAAGTAAACAAATACCTATCATCAGTAGCGACGTCACCGCAGAATCGTCGTGAATTCGGTGAACGATGGAATAGTAAATGAATCTCGTCAGTATCTGCCTCCTCGTATGCGGTGAGACCGTGGCGATTTCGCCGATGACGCATAACGCCGTATTGATGAAGAAGGAGTCGAACAACGTTAGCATGACCGAAGAAAGAAGCTGCATGTAGGGCTGTGCTACCATTCGGTTCGAGACAATTGATATCAGCGTAGGGAATAGACGCGGTAAGTTTTTGAACGGTGTCGATGTCACCGTTTCGACAAGCCCAATACAGAGCACTAGCTTCACCCTGTTCAGGACGACGAAGAATTGATGCTTCATTCTTCTCTTCGGTGCTCTTGCCTGCTCCCATTTATTGTTCGTTTCATTCAAAACACGAAAGAAAGTGATTTTAGTTCCTGTAAAAGCAAAACAAGCAATAATTTGAAGATGGAAGTCCGGGTGAGAAGGAGTGCAGGGTTCAGGTGTAGTGATGACAGTAAGTATGAATGTGGATTTCAATGTAGGAGTGAATATTCTTTTCACTCACTCACATCAATATCACCCATACTCAGACCCTATTTTGTGACATCATACGAAGTGCTCTTAAATATAACTATTTTACTGTTCACAGTACGCTTGAATCAATAAAGGTTTTTATTTATATAAAACAGATAACGATACCACATCGAAGTACAATTAGAAACTTCAACGATACGAAATAATCTAGAAGTTTTGTTTTTCTGCCTATCTCTTACGTATGTATACTGCTATTCGAAGATTTGTTGTTTAAACTATTTATGAATAGTACCAATAAAGCAAAACACTAGCAGTCGTATTAAATCTTATGATGAAAACTTGGCAGTGAAGCTTCATTTATTCTAATCTTCGAAAGACCCGAAGCTGATTTACATAACATAGAAAAAAGGTCTTCCCACTCCAAACACAAACTGACACAAAACTGATATTTTTCTATCATCTCTATGAAATATAAATAAAGGTCTAAAAATATATCCCCGTTGAAGTTTATCATGATCCCTAATCTGGAAAAAGTTGTTTGAGATAAACAACTTTTATATAGAGTCAATGTTCCTAATTAGAACAGTTTGTCGACAGCTATGAAAAACAGCTGTATTAGATAGGGTTTGCGTAACATTTTTTAGATTTTTCTTACATAATTGAGATCGCCATTGTCTGCTGCATCGAATGATGTAAACATCATCAATTTATCTTTAAAAATAGATGAGTTATTACTGGTAGTTTAACGAGTAGTGCATCTGTTCTAGATAAGAGCACTTTTCCTAATTACAACAGCAAGCAAAAAATTTCAAATTTTGAAAATCACTAGATTTCATAGTCTCAACTTCAAAACTTTTTATTTTCCTTGGAACAAAAAAAATGTTTCTCATTCAATGAGGAATATTCATCTCCAGGTTGAGCTCTATGGCATATTAAATAACTGAGATATTAATAGATCTTTTAACACCTCGAATGTTCTAAATAAGTACACTGTAGCTTATTAGAACAGGAAGCGAAAAAGTGTTTCTATTTAGAACAACTAATGTAAAATACATAGAAATCTCGCTAAAATCAGTAAATAAACCTATTTCGCTACCGGAACTTTGGAATTTCATCCTGAGTCCGTTGCAAAAAACATTCATTTTATCTTGGGCTATCACCTGATAGCGGTTTATAACAAACGGCAGTATAATTTATTTTTTAATACGCATATCGAAATCCTGTTCATCAGCATATTTGTCAATACGATATTATATTAGAATTTCATTTGGTCTCTGTTTTCATTAAACCAAAAGCAACATTGGTTTGGTTTTGGTGTTTAAAATGCCTACATGAAATATTAAAAAATTACTCGAGCGATGTAAAAAATGTTAGAGATTGATTACATTTTTTTTCTCATAACAATTTGCCCAATGAAATGTGACAAGTATGGACTGTTACGTGTTAGACACAACTCGACGAACTCTATCGAACAGTATATTTACATTTTGAGAGAAGATATAAAATAATTTCATAAAAAAAAATATTATTTTTCACCATACCGAAAAATATAAACATAAAATATTCTCTAAAACTATTCAATCCATCATCCATGACTATTTCGAAGCTTACATCAATCGACACAGGTCGACATGCTGTCTGATGATGTCTCTGCCATCATATTCAATGAAACTAGTCAAAGGTTAAGATTATCTTAAAGCGATCAAAAGAGGATCCCTTGGATATTTCATCGAATGATTCGGTCTAAGATTACTGCCACATGAGATCCTATTCCATTTGACTCTGTCAAATGATAGAAATTTCAAAAGTGACAAGGATCAAAAATCGACTTTTGTTAAGAGAATATTTTAGTTTTTTATTTTCTGCTATGCTTGGACATACTACTTTTTAATAAAATTGTTTTTGTCTTGTTCTGAAATCTAAATAGAGTGAAGTACTCGATAGAGCTGGTCGAGCTGTATCTAGCACACTGAATTATGCGAATCGTTCTGCAAAAACAGTAGAGTCAATCACTGAGTTCCCGCGATTAGCTACAGTAATTTTTAAATCTTTAATGTAGTTATTTTCGCTCTGAAAAACTAATGAATGAGGTTTTTGTTTTTATCAAAACAGAGACCAAATGAAATTCTAATATAATATCGTATTGACAAATATGCTGATGAACAGCATTTCGATATGCGTATTAAAAAATAAATTATACTGCCGTTTGTTATAAACCGCTATCAGGTGATAGCCCAAGATAAAATGAATGTTTTTTGCAACGGACTCAGGATGAAATTCCAAAGTTCCGGTAGCGAAATAGGTTTATTTACTGATTNAAAAGTGTTTTACAAAAACGCTTTTCCCTCTATATAAGTTCATAGATGAAACAATCAATTCCTGAACGATGACTACAACTGATTAGACAGCCAAAAACGATCACGTATACTGTTGCTGTATACGGTTGGTAGTCTGAAATATCTGTATATTGGCATTTGACAAGCGCATTATTGTAACTGTATTTTTTTGTGGATGAGAGTACATAGAAGATTTTCATTCATCAACCATCAGTGCAACGAGATACAGTTCTAATACTACGCCTACCGTACGCTAGAAAACTCTCTAAAAAGACAGCTTTTGTCTTGTGCTCTATTTCCAACATGTCAACTTAGATACGTAATGCCGTCACGGTTCAAAACAAAAAATAGATGGTCGTCGTTGCTTGAATTGGAACCTCAAAGAAAGCCTTGGACCTACGTGCTTTGGTTCTTCACATGTCTTATTGACGAGATACTTTATACAAATGATTCTCAAACTTTCTTGTCTGTTTTAGTAAAACCTTATTTCTACTATCTCATATGACATTACTAGCTCGATGCACACGCGCGATTCGCTCTAGTTTTATTAATCAATGAAATACTTAAACTGAAAAAATAAAAACATTCAAGTGTATAAATAGAAAGAACAACAAAGTAAGTATCTGAATTGAAAACAATTGAATGATATCTAGTTATGCAAGACTCATCGTAGAGTTTGCGATAAGACGTATTGCTTCTCGATGTGCACTTGTAGTAGCTTGTTCAATGGCTTGTAAAATATGTGCAGTTTGTTTTCTGTACAGTGTATTATTAATTGTCCTCCTATAGAGTCCATCACGAAGTAGAAATATGATCGCACTTGTAGCAAACTGCAGTTAAAAAGCATAGAGACAAGTGTATTTATAATTTCAAAATCACTTACAGCTTTATTATTTGATATTCGTAAGTCTTTGATACAAGCGGCTTTAGCATGACTTACAGACGTAGATGAAACTGGAAGAACGAGTTTCTTGAGTTTTTTGTATGCTTTGTGAAGATATGTACTACACAAGTATGCTGCTAGTGTGGCTGTAAAAGTTCGTCTTTTACTACCACGTACACTATTCTCAAGGTCACAACTACGGTTGGCTGTTACACACAGGCCAGACGAATGACGAATCAGTCGATAATGCAGCATTATTTGAATATCATGAACAGTCCGACCACCACCAATTTCCTAGCAAGTTTTTAGAAGTAGGATTTGTTAAAACAATGGAATTGATCTTACATAACTGGTAATATGAATTTGCAGATCTTCCGTTGTCGAATATTGATAATAAACATCAACTGACATATGTGACCTATCAATTTTAATACCTGTTAAAAACGAAAAAGGAACATATTACTTAAGTGGTATCATTCCATAAGCATGACATACGTTCAGCTGTATCGTCACAGCAAAGACTTTTGGAGGTGAGAGTACAAATCAGCACTCCTAACTCGTCGTAGAATTCGAATCGAAACTAGAACAGAAAGAGAACATTCAGTATTGTTCTTGCACGAGATTGAAGAAAATCAATACAACCTTCTCACTCCAGTTTAAACTCGTTGTTATGCTAACTGTTCCATACACATAGTTGTTTGAAACCAGTATTTGATGTCCTTCTCTTTCACACCAATACTGTGCATGATCTGCACCAGGTTGTTCAGCGAATGGAATCACATGGCGATCCCCAAATACGTAGCACACCCCAGGTGACTGTTGAGTACTGACCGAATTTTTGTAATATGCTTAAGGTAAATTTGCAAATAATGAAACAATAAGTCGAAATAACAAAAAAAAAACTCACTTAATAAAACCATTATCGTAATAACTAAGGAATTCATTTGTTTTGTGTTTCTATTCTTTCAAATACAAATTGTACAATAATGTTATCGACAAAGTACCAAAACCTATTTTGATATGTTCACTGCTAAAATGAGTACGATTTCATGAAAAATAACTAATTAAACAGAAACTATACAAAAAAATAGGAGTATTATGAAACATGATCGGCAATGAGTGTTGATTGAGATAGTGAGAAACATGCACACTAATCTCTATCCCAGCCCATCGACTCAGCAGCGCAACCAAAGTTTTTAGACCGATGGGCAAACTTCTCTTATGTCAGAAAAAACCTATGGGGAAAATAGGCAAGGTTTGTTTTTTATAGGTCACTACTTTTTTGACTCAACAAAGTACGGATAACGTAAAAAATAACAAAAAAATGAAATGAGGTTCTTTTAATCCAATATGTATGAAACTCAGAACTTAAGTAGGAGTTAGATGTATTTTAGTCTATTTTGAATGTCTCTGTTTATAAAATTTATATTTTGAATTTAAACACAAAAATCTCCATGAACTAAGCGACTTCATATCTTGGTTTTTTCTTTCATATTTTCACATATTAATCAACATATTTTTCTTTTCGCTTGTGCGCGTCAGTCTATTATACATCTCTATATGTATATGTTCGTGAGTGTTCTCTTGCTCCGTTTTCTTGTTTCTCTTCCCTTTAATATATTCTGCTCTCCCTTT